ACTGTGCTCCATAACGTTCTCAATGACTGAGTTTTTAGAAGTAGTTCACCAGGCCATTCTTCCGAGGCACTTCTGGGTGGACTCAAACCTCCAGCCTTTTGGTTAGCAGCTGAGAGTGTTAACCGTTTGCACCACCCAGGGACTCCATATAAGACATAGAGAATGTCCGTATGGCTTTGTTGTTGTTGTTTGCTCGCTCAGCCGTTCGTTTTTGTAACAGTGTGACGTTCCACCATACGATGTTCCATGCGCCCCTTCATCGGTCTTCTTGGGGTGGAATTTGTGTACGTCTGTTCAGTTTTATTTGGGCGACGGCATGGCTTGTATATATTTGTTTTGTTCTGTATTTGCTGCTTTTCTTAAGCCTCCTGGCAGGTTCCAGAGACTGAAGTGGTAGCTCAATACCTGGTGTGACCGCAGGTCCAGAAGAGGTAAGGCTCACAGCAGGTGGATTGGCAGGGGCGCCTGGGCTTTCTCACGCTCCATCCTTCTCAGGTGTCTGGGGCTCTGAACGCCTCTCAAAACCTTCCCCTGACACCTGTTGTTCGCAGCTCTGCCTGAACGTGTGCACATCTGCGTCTGAAGTGTACCTGTGGTTGTGAAATGAAAGAATGTCTTGCAGAAGAAATTCCAGGCATCCTAGGGCAGGAGAGGGAGGATAATTGTAAGCCTTTGGGTGTCTCTGAAGTCATGCTAGGTGAGTGTTGGCTCCAAAAATGGGCAAGTAGCCCTTGAGGTCATATTACTGTCTTAGCAGCATTGCTCCAGCCCGCAGACGACACCCACTGTGCGCGCACGCACACACACACACACACACACACACACACACTGTGGTCCTTTGTACCCAATGGAGGAGGACGGAGACCAGGCAGAGTGCTGGGGGCCCTCTGCAACCCAGAGGAGGCAGCCACTCAGCCTGTTCACGGTTGTCCACATCAGTGATTGCTTCCCTCACCTGGTCAATGCCAAGGCCTTGGGAACTGCATCTCGGATAGCTGGGCACCCAGCCTTTTCGTCCTCCCCACACTCTTCTCCTATCAGCTGTGCCAGCCCCTATCACAGCCTACTTCCTGGGAAGAAAGGGCTATGCGCCTGTCCACACTGGCTGCCCCACATCCACCCTCTTCCCCAGCATTACTTTGTTCAGAAGTTTTGTTCCGACATTCTCGTCTCCTCTTTGCTATCTTCCCGGAGCTGAGCTGCAGCCTGTATTAGACAGTACACATCTTAAGAACTCTAGCTCTGGTGGCGCAGTGGTTGAGTGCTCAGTTGCTAACCGAAAGCTTGGCAGTTCAACCCACCCAGTGGCTCTGTGGGAGAAAGTCCTGGCGATCTGCTCCCGTAAAGATTACAGCCAGGAAAATCCTATGGGCCAGTTCTGCCCTGTCACACAGGGTTGCTATGAGTCGGAATCGACTCAATGGCACCCAACAACAGCAGCTCTTTTACGAGAAGCCGGATAAATAATACACAGAGAAGGCAGAACAGGGGAAAAGGAAGGTGAGAGGGGATTGGTGATCAATCTTTACTCCGTAAGATTAAGAATAACTCTTGAGGGAACGCACATGACCTTTTTTGAAGCTTCCAACATCCCCTTGGAATAAGCAGAGTGGGATCTTTATCACCCTTTTATAGACGAGGGAGCAAAGCAAGGACACAGTTGATCAGGGCATACCTGAACCCAGGTTCACAGGACTTTCCCCTCTGCTGAGACTTTGTGGTTCAGGGCTGACGTTGGTTGGGTCCCTGAGGAGGTGGTCTGGGGAGCGGTAGCAGTATCTGGGTTTCTGTACTGAAGTGGGGCCTGGGGATGTGTCTTGAAGCTGTGTTTGGATTGATTTTACATAAAATTGAGAAAAATCCACTGTATATCTCAAAGGGGGGTACTGGTGGGGATTTGTGGAGGGGGCCCAAGTCTCTCCGTTCCACCTCTGGGTACCAGCCCCGCCCAGAGTTTTATTATTGTCCCGAGGAGCCGGAGAGCTAGAAACTCAGAACCTCTGACCTTGTGTCAGATACTGCCCGATACTTACCAACTCCTCTTTTCTTCTGTACACATTTCAAAACCCAGTTGCTGGTGAGTCAGCTCTGACCCATGGTGACCCCATATGTGTCAGAGTAAAGCTGTGCTCCATAGGGTTTTCAGTGGCTGGGTTTTCGGAAGTACATCACCAGGCCTTTCTTCCAAGGTGCCTCTAGGTGGACTACAACCTCCAACCTTTTGGCTAGCAGTGTTCGCTGTTTGCACCACCCAGAGACTCTCCTCGTACACACAGAGACACATTTCCCAGACTTCCTTGCAGTTTGTATGGCCATGTGACCAGGTTGTAGCCAATGGGTTGTGAGCAGAATTGCCCAGTCCACTTTTAGGCCAGGCCCATTCAGCCTCCACATTCTGTGGGACGGCATTCTGACTCTCTTCTCATTTCGTCTGTTCCCAGCCATGCCACTTATCAGTGAAAGGCCACACTCTGAGCAACAGAGTGACCTGGCCCACACGCCAAAGATGCTGCAGGTGCCAGCTTCAGGTGCCAAGGCATCGCTGCCCCACAGAGCCCATCCCTGCCCTTTCAGCAGCCCAAAGTTGTCCCCACCTTCTTGCCGAATTTTTAAAGGCAACCCTAACATGGCTTCCCACAGGCGCCAGCATCTTCCTAACCTTCCAGAATCACGGGTCCAGTGGTATAAAGTCAACCTGCTTGTTTTCATTTAAACAAATGTAAGTCATTTTTTTTTTTTCTATCCGGAGTCCAATGGCCAGCCTTTGGCTAGAGGTTGTAAGTTTCTCTTCCTTCTTTTCCTCCTCCTTCGTCATAATCCCTTTGATTTTTATATAGGGGTTATAATTATGGGGTCGACAGTGAGGTTGCCTAAATTTCTAGGTGCTTACTAGCTGTGAGACATTGGGTAAGTGACTTAATCTCTCCATGCCTCTGTTTTTCCTCTATAAAGTGGTTAATAATGGTCTCTACCACACAGGGTTGCAATGAGGATTAGAAGAGGTAATGCTTATCAGGTGCTTAGAACAGTGCCTTGCCCCCAGGAAGCACTCAGTAACTTTACGTGTGGTGTGTGCGCACATGAGCATGTGAGCAGTCTGTGTGAAGCTAAGGGTGTGTTGGTTTTGGGTCTTACTACCAAGGTCAGTTCTTCGGAACCAAACCTCCAATCTCCATGAGAATAGCTTCAGTTCCCACCCTCTTGTATCTGTGTTCCTCTAAACTTCTGAAGCTCCTTTGTGACTCTGCCCATAGAATCCACCATCTAGGACAAGACGCCGTCCGTGAGTAATCTCTGGCTCTCCCGGTCTCAGCATGGTGCACCCTAGACCAAAAAGAAACCCAGTCACCTAACCTCCTACTTTGGCATAAACCACTTGCTGTTGAGTTGGTTCCGACTCATGGTAACCCCACGTGTGTCAGAGTAGAACTGTGCTCCATAGGGTTATCAGTGGCTGATTTTCCGAAAGTAGATCGCTAGGCCTTTCTTCTGAGGCAACTCTGGGTGGACTTGAACCTCCAACCTTTAGGTTGGCAGCCGAGTGTGTTAACTGTACCACTTGGGGACTCAACCTTATTGATGATTTGGGAGTATTAATAATAAAGTACTACATCGTGTGGTCTACATGAGTAGAGAAGGCTTGGAGCCTGGTGGTTCGGGTATGAGTCTAGCATTTGCCACTTGCTCAGTCTTTACTGATGATGATGATAATGAGCGGTGGATGGGTTATGGTAAGTGAGGGCATCTCTATATGGTGCCTTTCACACTGAGTAAGTACTTAGTAAGTGACCTATTCTTATTAAAGCCCATCTGTCCCATTCCGTTGCCGCTGCCTGGGCTTTCTATCTATACCCAATAATTGAGAGTGAGGCTGTGGTGCTTGCAACCTTCCCCAAGTGAAGAAGAAATAAATAAATAAACCCACTGTCGTTGAGTTGATTCCGACTCATAGCAACCCCATAGGGTTTCCAAGGCTGTAATCTCTACGGAAGCAGACTGCCACATCTTTCTCCCTCGGGGCTACTGGTAGTTATGAACTGCCGACCTTTCGGTTAGCAGTTGAGCGCCTTAACCACTGCACCACCAGTGAAGAGCACATGTGTGTTCAGAGAGAATCATGGAGAATGTTGTGGAGAAGGTGAGGAGGGCCTCAAACGGGCATCGCAAGCCCGAGGCCGACTGGAAAGTGAGTCTCTGGGAGGCGGCGGAATGTGTGAGGCCTCACTCTCTGACTGCAGGAATTGTAGGACAGATCACAGGATTTCCTCAGTAAAAGTCCATTAGCTCCCCAGTCGAACCAGGCGTTTAGGTACACTCACTGTTTGTAAGATGAAGTACACTTGGCGGGAGACACCCGAAGGGGAGATGAAAATGGGTACATGTGTCGGTGGGTGCTGGGCTCTCTGCCTGTGGCTCTACTGTTGTTGTTTTCTTTTTAATATTTTTATCTATTTATTATTTTTTTAAATTTGGTAACTATGTGTGTAACAAATCGTTTGCCTTTTCAGCATTCTTCACATGTACAGTTCAGTGGCACGAGTCATGTTTATCATGTTGTTCAGCCATCACCACTATCCGTTTCCAAGTTTTCCCATCGCCCTCAACAGAAGCTCAGTGCCGCTAATGTGGTGCTTTTTAAGCTGCTGCTGAGGCGGCCACACCCGAGAGTGCCTCCTGTTTCGCCGTTACTGAGCGCGCCGAAGGCAGGTGGAGACGGTCTGTTCTAACCTGCTGGGACCCATAGCAGTGTGTGAAATGAAAAGTTTTTTATCCAAACATTCTCAACTCCTTTAGTAACCAAATTTAAAAAAAAAAAGTTTGATAGAATTAAATGTAACAAATGCAGTGAAACCTGAACTCTTGTTGGGGAGGAAAAGGAGAGTCTCACAGTGTCTCTCGGATCATTCGGTCTTGGACAGAAAGAGAGCGATGAACATGGGCAGTATTCAGCCCACAGCACTCCAGGACCTATTTGGGCTGATGACTCAGGGTCACCCTAGTCAGGAATGACTCTCCTTGCATAACACTCTCTGCAAGGCACCCTTCACCTCTGCGTTCCTCAGGCTGTAGATCAGCGGGTTCAGCATAGGGTTGAAAATGCTGTAAAACAGGAAAAGGACCTTCTGTTGTTCCTCAGGGTGGCTGGATTTGGGAGCCATATAAGTGACCATGGCACTGCCAAAGAAGAGCCCAACCACGCAGAGGTGGGAGGAACAGGTGGAGAAGGCCTTTCTGCGGCCCTCCCCGGACTGGATCTTCAGGACAGCAAAAAAAATATGGACGTAGGAGACCAGCACCAGGCAGAGGGGCCCCACTAAAACTAACAGAGAAGCAGCTAAGATGACCACTTGGTTGAGCCAAGTGTCTGCACAGGCCAGCCTGAGGACAGAGAGGAGTTCACAGAAGAAGTGGTTGATCTCATGAGGCCCACAGAAGGGCAATCTCAGGATGAGGCTCACATGGACCAGGGCCAGGAGGGAGCCACACGCCCAAGAGGTGATGGCCAGGGTGATGCAGAGCCTCCAGCTCACGATGACAGAGTACCGGAGAGGATGGCAGATGGCCATGTAGCGATCGTAGGACATCACAACCAAGAGAAGACATTCCGTGTGAGCGAAAGTCAAAAAGAAGAAGGTCTGTGTGATGCAGCCAGCAAAGGATATGGGTGTGGTGGGACTCCAGAGGTTCACCAGCATCCAGGGCACCGTGCTGCATGTGTAGGCTACGTCAACAATGGCCAGGTGGGAGAGGAAGAAGTACATGGGGGTGTGCAGTCTGGGGTCCAGTGAAATGAGCCCCAGGATGACCCCATTCCCCAGTGAGGTGAAGGCGTAGAATAGGCAGAAGAGCCCAAAGAGGAGCATCTGAACCCTCGGGCCAAGGGGAAACCCCAGGAGAATGAACTCTGTGACGGATGTCTGGTTTTCCTCCATTTCTCTGGAGACAACAGAATTGTCAAAAAACATCTATTTTAGCCACTATTTTGTGAATTTAGTCATATTTAACAGGTAAACTTATTAATGATCTATTATGCACTAAGTTAATCACTTGGTCTGACACAACTTTTCAGAAGAGAGTGTGTCACTTATGATGAGAAGAAAGATGGGTAACTCAAAAAAGAAAGTAAAATAACCACAAAGAGGGATTGTCTCAAAACTGAATGTGTTGAAATTACTAAGCGAATTCCTAAGGAGTAATGGAAACAATCAGTAATGAAAGAACTCCAAGTATGAGAACGAGAGTAGTCCTAGAAAAGAAATGTAATTACAGTTTCTCCAATAGAAATATCAACAGTTACATTTGAAATCCACCTTTGCCCTATAGAGCAGCTTACAATGAAAGACACAAAATGAGAAAAAGCAGCTTGTATGATGATGCGATTAGTTAGGTTGCTAAGAAGGAATTAATGAATGGGCTCTGATGGGCTCCAAAAGCTGAAAAATCAGCCATTGAAAACTGGTTGGTTGGGAGAGTCTTGATTGCACCCAAAACATCATTCAAGATGCCTCTGTGTCATCTCAGAGAGGCAGGAAGATGTGACTGTGACTCAGAGAATGCATGAGGAGCAGTGTTTTCAGCCTATCTTCACCCTGTCCCAGGGTGAGGGGAGACTGGCCTGATGGCACAAGGTGCTGTCCCTGGTAGGTCTGCATCTACAACCCAGATGAATTAGGTGATCAATGATCAGTAACTCCAGCCAATAAGATCTCCAGTTACCCTCTTTGCTCTGATCCTATGCCCACCAGTCACTCATTTAGAGTTCCTTTGCATTCTTGTATTTTGACAAAGAAGGAGTGTGCTGGCTGGCCAAGGTCTTGGCCATTCTGAATTTGGGTAGCATGATACACCTCCTGGGAAATGTGTTTACTGAACTAAATTTCCAAAGCTGAATCCACAAGGTAGGTACCAGGCAATCTCATTGAAGTGCAACTAAAGGAAGCTTTTCTGAGTAGTAAATTGGACCTTGAAGGGTATACCCATCGGATACCCCTACAGTAACAACAAGTGACAGTTATGCTATGTTGTTGTTAGGTGCTATCCAGTTGGTTCCTACTCATAGCGATCCTCTGTATAACAGAACGAAACACGGCCCGATTCTGTGCCGTAGCAAGGATCCTCACAATCCTTGCTATATTTGAACTCATTGTTGCAGCCACTGTGTCAATCCATTTCTCCAGGGACTGCTCCCTCCTGATAACATGTCCAAAGTACATGAGACGAAGTCTCGCCATCCTCGCTTCTAAGGAGCATTCTGGCTGTACCTCTTCCAAGACAGGTTTGTTCATTCTTCCGGCAGTCCATGGTATATCCAATATTCTTCACCAACACCATAATTCAAAGGCATCAATTCTTCTTTGGTCTTCCATATTCATTGTCCAGCTTTCACATGCATATTAGGTGATTGAAAATATCATGGCTTGGGTCAGGTGCCCCTGAGTCCTCAAAGTGACATTTTTGCTTTTTAACACTTTAAAAAGATGTTTCGCAGCAGATTTGCCCAATGCAATACATTGTTTGATTTCTTGATTACTGCTTCCATGGGCATTGATTGTGGAGTCAAGTAAAATGAAATCCTTTGCAACTTCAATATTTTCTCCACTTACCCTGATGTTGCTTATTGGTTCAGTTTTGACAATTTTTGTTTTCTTTATGTTGAGGTGTAATCCAAGAACTGAAGAAAAAATTCAAGGCTCGAGTTGCAATTTTGAAGGATTCTATGGGCAAAATATTGAATGATGCAGGACGCACCAAGAGAAAATGGAAGGAATACAAAGAGTCACTGTACCAAAAAGAATTGGTCGACATTCATCCATTTCAGGAAGTGGCATATGATCAAGATCCTATGGTACTGAAGGAAGAAATCCAAGCTGCACTGAAGGCACTGGTGGAAAACAAGGCTCCAGGAATTGATGGAATACCAGTTGAGATGCTCCAACAAATGGATGCAATGCTCACTCATCTATGCCAAGAATTTTGGAAGACAGCTACCTAGCCAATCAACTGGAGGAGATCCACATCTGAGCTCATTCCAAAGAAAGGTGATCCAACAGAATGCAGAAATTATTAAACAATATCACATGCTAGAAAAATTTTGCTGAAGATAATTCAAAAACGGTTACAACACGCCATCGACAGGGAACTGCCAGAAATTCAAGCTGGATTCAGAAGGGGACATGGAATGAAATATATCATTGCTGATGTCAGATAGATCTTGGCTGAAAGCAGAGAATAACAGAAAGATATTTACCTGTGTTTTACTAACTATGCAAAGGCATTCGACTGTGTGGATCATAACAAATTATGGATACCATTGTGAAGGACGGCAATTCCAGAACACTTAATTATGCTCATGAGGAACCTGTACATAGACCAAGAGGCAGTCATTTGAACAGAATAAGGGGATACTGCATCGTTTAAAAATCAGGAAAACGTCAGGGTTGTTTGCTTTTACAATACTTATTCCATCTGTATGTTGAGTAAATAATCTAAGAAGCTGGATTATATGAAGAAGAATGGGGCATCAGGATTGGAGGAAGACTCATTAGCAACCTGCGATATGAAGATGGCACAACCTTGCTTGCTGAAAGTGAAGAGGACTTGAAGCACTTACTGATGAAGATCAAAGACCACAGCCTTCAGTATGGATTACACCTCAACATAAAGAGAACAAAAATCCTCACAACTGGTCCAGTAAGCAACATCATGATAAATGGAGAAAAGATTGAAGTTGTCAAGGATTTCATTTTACTTGGCTCCACAATCAACGCCCATGGAAGCAGCAATCAAGAAATCAAACAATGTATTGCATTGGGCAAATCTGCTGCAAAAGACCTCTTTACGGTGTTGAAAAGCAAAGATATCACTTTGAGGACTAAGGTGCACCTGACCCAAGCCATGATATTTTCAATTGCTTCATATGCCTGTGAAAGCTGAACAGTTAATAAGGAGAACTAAAGAAGAATTGATGCCTTTGAATTATGATGTTGCTGAAGAATATTCAATATACCATGGACTGCCAGAAGAACAAACAAATCTGTCTGGAAGAAGTACAGCCAGAATGCTCCTTGGAAGTGAGGATGGCGAAATTTCATGTCATGTACTTTGAACATGTTATCAGGAGGGGCCAGTCCCTGGAGAAGGACATCATGCTTGGTAAGGTAGAGGGTCAGCAAAAAAGAGGAAGACCGTCAACAAGATGGATTGACACAGTGGCTGCAACAGTGGGCTCAAGCATAACAACGACTGTGAGGATGGCGCAGGACCAGGCAGAGTTTTGTTCCGTTGTACATAGGGTCACTCTGAATTGGAACTGACTCAACAGCACCTGACAACAACAACAGTGTATTATAAACTCCTAACACATGACCAGAGACTATTTTATTTTCACGTTTATATGAATAATTTCTGTGCTAGGGCAACCTTCTAAATTTATTTGGAAAACTTACAAAGCACGTGAAAATATATGGTTGGGAAAATGAATTTCAATCTACACCTTATAAATCTCTTAATCTCTTTAGTTAGTCATCCTTGATTTTCTTCTGTATCTTCCAAAATAATTATATAAAGGAAAGAGAAACAGTGCTTATGATGTAAGAATCTATTTGAACGCTAAACTCGGAGATAAGAGGGAAAGGGGACTGAGATACTAAGATTCTTTGAGGGTCCAAGTTCTATGCTAGCATACTTCTTATGAACAAGGAATAGACATGCTCAATTTGTAGTTCTAGAACTTTGAAAGTGTTTGCTGAGTGAATGAATGAATGGATAAATGCCTAAATATAGATTTTTTTTTAACATCTTGGACTAGATCTGTAATTTCTGGATTGGTTAAATCTAGTGTGCTATAATTGTCCCCAATTAAGGATGTTCCCACCACAGCAAATAAAGGACAGGCTTTCTGAAGTTGGATAAGAATGACTGAAGAATCTCCAAAATGTTTAGACATTGAACACTGGAAAAACGCTTCTATTTTCTTTCTTTCTTACTCTCCCTTATATTTTATTTCACTCCTACATATAGCGGAGCCCTGGTGGTGTAGTGGTTAAGAGCTTGGCTGCTAACCAAAAGGTCGCGGTTTGAATCCAACAGCCACTCTTTGGAAACCCTATGGGACAGTTCTATTCTGTCCTGTAGGGTCACTATGAGTTAGAATGGACCTGATGCGCCCTAACAATAACAGCTACATTTGGTGAAAGCATCTCAGTGAACCCAAATGGATTCAGTTTTCCGAAGGGCAGGGAGAAGTGAAAAGAAAGACTTTAAAAAATAATAAATACATCCCAGTTCCCAATGTAACTGTCAGGCATTTCTGGAAGCTTTAAGTGACATATTTTATATGTATGTGCAAGTTCACAATTCAAAAGTTGGCAACTTGTTTGATGACTAATGAATTACCCGGCATCTCTACGGTTTCCAAGTAAATGTCTGAGACCAAAGTCATTTCTTTACACATGAACAAACCTGTCCTTACTAGATGGGGCCTACATTTCAAAAAGGAACTTTCAAGATCTGAAGAATGGACAAACTCTTCTCTAGGGTAGCGCTCATGAGTCACTATAGCATTCCTGAAATGAGGGCTATTTTTAAATCCTCGGTTCCACTGAAGTACTGGATGGCTGGATGGTTTGCTTCCAAGTAGTAAGAAAGGTTTCAGTTACAACTAGTACTCTCACTAGACCTCCCCTCTGGGTGGTGTGTCCCCCAAGTCCCCTTTTCTGTAGCTCACTGTATCTTTTTCTCCCTCCTCACCTATTTTTCCTTCCTGGGTCCATTTTTCCAATATTCTCTCCCCATTCCCCATTTTCCTTATCTCTCTTCTACAATCTCACTCTCAGAATCTCTTCCCTACCTCTCCCATATGTATCTCCATACTATTCCAGACACTCATCAATAGTTCTAATATCTGAGATGTTTCTTAGAGGACTTTGATTGC